TGGTGCTGCCCTAGAGAACGAACACCCTTCTGTCATCGCACTTAGTCACACAGTTCCTCTCTCCTTGGACGTCCCCCACCCCCGTCCACTTCGGGAAGGAAACCCACACCGGCTTCGGGGGGCCTAGCAGCAACAGTGACTGCAGACTCTTGATCGAACCCAAAATCACAGCGGCATCAGTGACCCTGTGGGACAAAGGGGAACGTTTTTTGAGAATGAAGTTTAGTGATGTGTGAAGCGCATAGAGAATATTATGGGGGAAAACAGAAGACCAAGCAATATATGGAACATTCCAGTTTTGTGTAGCTATATCTGGCCATATCTGAATGTGGAAATAAAAAAAGCTTTTCCTTCTTTGTTTATACTATTCTGCATATTCTGGTTGGTACAATTCCATACATTTTTTTAATATATATAATTAGAAAAACAGGTGTGTTTTCAGAAGGGAAAAAACTGCCCAAAATTGACAAGAGGAGGAATGATTCTGCTTGACATTCGGGAGCTGCAGTTTGGGTAGATCCAGTTTATCTGTAGATCCTTCCCTGTCCCCCAGCCCTGCCATTTTTGGAGGCAGAATTATGGGGGAGGGGTGATTCTATAACCGGAGGTGACAGCTAACAAAATTATTGCCAACGTGAGTCTCTGGGTGTGTTCTTATGCTGCTATAACTGTGTGTGCTCTCGCTCCAGCTGCATTCTCAATCCTCGAGGACAAGGTATTACCTTGTTTCTTGGTTTCTCCGACGGCCCCTTGGCCAGCACCGACGCACGGACTGACAGAGTAGCTGACCTTGCCGTCACTCTTATGCCCATGAAATGTGTTAACATCTTGCTTCATTTTGCTTTTGGTCCGAGAAGTAGAGTTCCATCCAGATTCACTCCACGAAATCCAACAGCTGGAATACAGGAGCCATTCATCAGAAAATGGGTTAGGCTTTCTCAGGATTTGTGTGTGTAGCAAGACCCTAACGGAATTTTTAAAAATTTTGTTACTTTTATGGAAGTAGCACTGGGAAGAGGGTCTGTTAAAGCTCTTGGATTTGACCACAGCCATCCACACCAGTGTACTTGGCATCTCCAAGTGACTGGCTTCTCGGAGGGAGGGATTTCATAAAGAGGATTTTCTTTCCCCAAGTTGGCTGTGAGAGTGATCCAGCATGCTTGCGGGGCCATTCTGGTTTCAACTGTTTTTCGTGTCAGCCAAGACATCCGCAGGCAAGAATTATAGTCCACTCTGCCTTCTCACACTGATCCAGGCAGCCGGGCAAGTCTGGGGGATGGAACCTGGTGTGTGCTCCACATGACTGACCTTCTGTACTCACACATCACAACACTCAGATGGAGGTTGAAGCCAGGCAACATTCCTGCTCTCTTAGAAGCAGGAGGGAAGATAAGGAAGAGAGAGAACTGGGTTTTCACGAAAGGCCAATGAAGGTCTCTATCCGTGTACCTGACATACATGAATGATTAACGTCCCTATTTGGGGAGTTGTGGGACTTGAGTGAGAAATGGCTTCTCTTCTTGGAAGGGCAACAGTACACTGAGGAACATTATTGGGGAATTGATGGGTAACAAATCTGAGCAGAGCCAGCAGAGTGATAGAAACAGCAAATACTGTCTCTTCTCCTCAGTGAGGAGGCATTACATTCTAAAAAACCAGCCATGGTGGTCCATGGTCATGCTTTCCTCCTGATATGTGTGCCTGGCCACCAGGTACCCAAAATCAAGATCAGTCCAAGGAGCCTCCCAAACCACAAAGCCGCTCATCCCAGATTCCTTCAAACCACTTAAACTTGTTGCTGTTTTGAGCCTGCACGGGGGTGAGTGAAGAAATCAAGCTATGCGTTAATTAGTGCAGGATCTAGGAACCAATATGGACAAGATACATACAGCTCAGATCCCCACAGGGACAACAATGTTCCAGAGAATTTTGCCTGGGAAGTGGGTATGCACCTCATGCCTGTTGCCATGTCCATTCCCACACTGGGTTATTATTGAAGGACTTACCCGTTGCCCTTTAGAAAATTTTATTTCTCTTAATAACTAGGGTTTTTTTTTCAATTTCTGAGGACTAAGTTGTTATAAGATCATGTCACTTTTTAATTTTACTTATTTAACAAACATGTATTATATAAAAAATATACAAGTATTAATTATATAATTATGTTATCAAATTATATTCTATAATATGTACATATGAACTCATTTAATCTTCATAATAACTCCGTGAGGTATAGGTACTACTTTTAGCCCCATTTTACAGATTAGAAAATAGACTCCAGGAGGCTAAGTAATTCACTAAGATTACACAGTGGGTAAGTGGTTAAGTAGGACTCGAGCCCGGGAAGTCTGGCTCCAGCAGACTTGCTCTTCACCACTATTAAAACTCAGAAAAATATAAAGCCAAAAACCCAGCCTTAAGACAACCATAAAAGGTGGCCTTACCAGGGTGCCTGGGTGGCTCAATCGGTTAAGCGTCCGACAGTTGATTTCGGCTTAGGCGGTGATCTCAGGGTCTTGAAATCCTGCTTAAGGATCCAGCAAAAGCTCTATGCTGGGATCCTGCTTAAGATTCTCTCTCTCTCCCTCTCCCTGCCGCTCACATGCTTTCTCTCTCTCTCTCTCTCTCACTCTCTCCTTCTCTAAAAAAACAAAGAAACGTTGCCTCACCATCCATGCTATTACATGGACCTGCCCGTGACTGCACCCAGTCTCCACATTCAGTTTTGTATCTTGCTCTTGTTTTCTTCTGAACCTTGTATAATGGTCTTTCCCTGTTGTTAAAAACTCCTTGTAAATATTTTTTTAGTGCCTACTTAATATCCCCATCATGTAAATGTACCACTCTGCTGATTCATCCCCTTACGTTTGCCCGTTTGGCTCTTGGGTTTTCTGTTCTGACTAGCACTGTAACGACTACCTCTGTGCAGAATTTCTTCTGTTCTTTGGAATAGACTCTGAGAATACCTCCTCAGAAGTAAAATCCCCAGGTCCAGGTGTACGAGTATGAACACTTTTCGGGCTCTAGATACAGGTTGTCCAGTGGTTTTCCAAGAAGCTTGCACCTTCACAGTGTCTGCAACACGGACAGAAGTGACTTTGTCATTCTCACACCTGCACCAAGAATGACTTCTAGAAATCTTTGCTCCTGTGATAGATAGAATGTGGTATTTTATTATTGTCTTGACTGTATTTCTTTGTTGGCTAGAGGATTGAGCTGGTCCATATTGGTGGATCAGTTATCTGTGTCTCCAGGCGGTCTGGTTGGGTCCTTTGCCCATCTGTCTATTGAGATCCTACAGAAGCCTTTGGGGAATCCAACAGAGAAGGGTCAGTGGTTTCCCATTTTTTCTTCTCTTACCTTGACATGGTATCCCCCCGAATATTTTTCTAGTCTATACTTCCGTACGTGCTTTTAATCTTCCCCCCAAGCCTTATGTGCATTTTTCTCTGGATTCTGTATAAAGTATTCTAGTGTCTGCTTTGAAAGGATAGTACTTCATTTCCTGCGAGTGTGCCCCATGCATAAATCCACATGGGTCCCTCCGTCTTGGATCATAAGCTCCTAGAGGGCCAGACTGTGTCTTTAGGAGCAGTTCTGCACACATGCTTTGGGGACGTCCCCAGCAGCCACAGAGCCCCTGGCCAAAGGTGATGTGAGCATTTACACGGGCCACCTGGAGAACACTAACCAGAAATGGGAGGGTGATAGCACAGTAGGCTGGATGCGTCACCATGCCCTGGTTATACTTCAAGAGAGCTGGGGAAAAAAAAAAAAAAGATAACACCTCCCCTACCTATTGATCATTAAGAAGAGGGGGCCGTTCTAGTGGAGGAAGGCACACAGGACTAGGGAACCAAAGCCCATGAACTGGTCCTGTGTTCTCCATCATTATGAACCATCAATATGAACCATGGGTCACATTCTCTACTAAGCCCTCATGGGTTTTTCTACCAGAGTAGTGATATCAGTAATAACTGATGTTCTGAAGCACCTTAAAATGTCATATATGGTCTTTCTTCGCCCTAAATCTTCACAATAGTCAGTGGAAACAGTGATGTTTTGCAGCTGAGCAAACAGATACAATGAGCTACAACTCTCCGTTCAATAAAGCATCGAGGGAAGATTTCATTATTAGATTTGCAAAAGCATATAATGCAGGAAAACAGTCCATTGACTTAAATGTATCATGAGGCCAAGTGGAAGAAGGAAAAGGTAAGGTATCTTGGGGTGTGGAGGGATTGTGGAAAAGAACCACCAACACCCCCCAGGAAACCTGTGTCACACAAGAAAAAAACAATGAAAGAGTTTAATGAAACAAAATCAGCAGAATGTTGATGATTATTTTCAAATATTAAGCAGTCTTTCCTCAAATTTCTTCGTTACATGATATCTTGCAGTTGTCCCAGTTACTGCAAAGATTAACAATAATAATACAGCACATCCCATCCTACAGGATACTCTATGTACCTATTCAAAATAGTCAAAAGTCTATAAATGTGTATGAACTTCTCTGTTAGAAGGGACAGTTGGGTGGATAGATCTATGTTGTTGATGTTGTTGTTTTCAGGTGGGCCTTGTTAAGGGCGTGTTTCAGGTTTTACCAAACGTGAAAAGCAGAATCGAATATACGATAAAGGAAGTTAAGATAGGCTCAAAACCCGGTGGGAGGGATGGGGTAGGCATGTTCTCTGTGGGTCAGGCCTGCCGTCTCTGGGCCTCTTGAGAGCATCTAGGGGAGGGCAGAGTCCATTCAGCTGCCCATCCTGGAGCAGCAGGTAAAAATGTCAGAAGCCAACAAGCTTTGACAGCCCCTGATGGTAGCAGAGCTTCTGCTCAAAGTGTGCATTTCAGAGGCTCGCTCCAAAGATTTCACAGGTGGGCTTAAGAGTGAGAGGCCTCTTGTCACGTGAAGCCAGGCCGCGTGAGGGTCTAGCTGCGCCAGGGCGGTCCTGGGGACTTAAGCTCTGTAGGAGCTCACGGCCGTGCTTGCATTGCAGGATTTTACGGGCAGCTACAGACATTCCGCCCCCCCCAGTATCCCGACTCCCAGAGAGCCGTGCTGCCCAGCAGCCCCTGCAGCGGGGCACCTTCCTTCGAGGACTGCCTGGCCCCCACGCCCATGGGGCAGGCCGGCTTTGATGTGTTCCACAGAGCCTTCTCCGCTCACTCGGGCATTGCAGGTGGGTGGCTTTCTGTGACTTAGAAACTCCGGCAGACTCGCAGGTGGGACCAGGTGGGTTTGCCGTGTCTGGCCCGGACAAGGCTTGACCTGGCACATGACCGCATCATGTCCTGTTGAATCTGCCCCTGAAATGTCTCTCACCTTCATGCTCCTCTCCAGCCCTATGCCCACCGCCCTGGCTCAGGGGGCCATAGTGTCTCTCCCAGACCATGGCAATAGCCATAGCCTTCCAGGAGGTTCCCTGAGTCAACTCGGTCTTTACCCTTCTGCCCCCCATACTACCATGAGCATTGCCTTCCAAAAATGAAGGCTAAAATAAGCCCCTTTCCTCCTGGAACACTTTAGATAGTCTCCAGCCGCCTAAACTTAAAGGCCCCCATGAGATGGGCCAGATCACATAGGCCCGCCTTCACGCACGTCTCCCTACATGTGCTGCACCTGAACTTTGCCCAGGCACTTGGCCCCACAGCCCCTCCCTATCCATCTTTGCGCTCTGTTTCCTCCTTCTAGAATGTTCTTTCCTTATCTCTCCATCTGTGAGAATCCCATCTTTATGACTCAACTTTAATATCGTCTCTTTTTTGAGGCCATCCTCGCCCTTGCTTAGAACACTTTTACTTCTACTCAGCCCGTGTTTTGTGCCAAGACTAATTGTGGCCATCTGCCTGCAAGTCCACCTCCCTCCCCACTGAGGTCCCTGAGGACAGAGCCGCTGAAGGGCCTAGCCCTTGGCCCCCCTCAGCATTTGCTGCCTGCACATACAGTGGGTGTGACCAGGCGCGATTGTTAACTTTCCTGTTCTTTCTCTTCCAGTGTATGATTTGCCTTCAGGGTCTTCGAGCCTCTTCGGGGAGTCTTTTCGCAGCGGACCTGAGGACGCCACGTTTCTGCAGATCAGCGCCGTGGACCGCTGTCCTAGCCAGCTCTCCTCTGTTTATACTGAAGGCTAAAGGCTCCCCTGGCCTCCACCCCCACTGACACCCAGAACCTTTTTTGTCACTTGCCACCTTTTATTTTCATATTCTCATAGACTGCATGAAAAGGTTGTCCGCCTCATTGGTGGACCCTGCAGAATCACAGACGTGTCTCTGGAAGGCAGGACTGGCCGGAGCCAGGCTTTGCAGGAATGTGTTCAGTTGTCCTTTTTCTCTCTGGGTTTGCTGGTGACCAGCAGGACTGGCTTTTCAAAGGGAATTTAGAGTCACTCTACCGGATACCTGTGACTTCCGGCTGTCAGCTCTCAAAGGACACCAGTGAAAGGATGCGTATATGAACATACAGTCTGGGGATCACGCTTGCGCAGAACTCCAAAGAGGGAAGGACAACCCAAACTGCCGGAAGCACGGTGAACTCCCCCACTGCTCCCCGTCCCCGCTGGCTCCTGCAAAATCAGGCAACAGGGGAAACCTACATCCAAGCACAGCTTGGGCTCAACTCCTGGAGAAGCCCTGGCTCCTGGCACCGGCCCTGGCCTGGCAGCCCAGGGAGCTGGCTGCCTCTCTCCTCTTACTATGCCCATGCTAACCAATTGCTTTTCAATATTTCTCCGAAAGCAAAATAAGAAGGTTCTGTCAAGCACAGTCCCTTGAAAGGCACTACGACTTGTTTTATATTCCAGCAACTTATCTTAGTTCTTTTATTTTTAAAGACTTGTTATTTACATCTACTTTTAAAGGAAAAAAAAATATTTAGAGGTCTGTTCTTTGGATGGAAAGAAGTAGTGTAATCACCCCAGTTACGTCCATTTTGCCACCGCTGTAGCTTGGCCTGGCCCCACCTCACGCACCTGTGAACACCTCCCCCCCCCACAGTAGTTTCGCATTTCACAAAAGTGACCTGAGGGAAAGGGGGTGGGCCCAGCCCCCTTCCCAGGGCCGTAGCGGAAACCCTGGTGGGTTGACTGTTCGGTGACTCCACCTCGAAGACCTCGTTCCATGGAAAAGATCGCTTGACTGGTTGACCCATTGCCTCCACTTGGTACTGTGCTGAGTGATGCTAGAAGGTGTGAGAACAGGGACCCCCTGATCTGAGATCCTGGGTTCTCTCAGAAAACCCAACTAGAGGTGCCCAATGTCCAATGATTTTGCATAGCTTTTGCTCACCTCCTTTCGGATACCCGCTCAGCTGTCTGTCTGTCCCTCCCCCGTACTGTCCTCTCCACCCTTGCCATTATTCTCACCTCCTCCCGTCTGCAGTCAGCACACCCACCCGCCCTCGCCTGACCATCCTTCCTCCCCGCAAGGTCTGCTCTGAGGCAGGCAGAGGGAAAGTCCAGGGAAGGTAAGCAGAAGAAGTTAACTTTTTTCCCTGAAACTCTCCTTTGAGAGCCTGGGATGTTCACAGAGCTCTTGGTCATTTGATAGCAACCCTGAATAGGAAGCCACTTTCTGGGATGCGTTGACAAAGCTATTAAAAAGATCTTCAGTCCCACGCGTAGATCCTAAAAAGTAGCCACACCCCAAAGACACGGGGTAAAGCCTGACATTCCAGAACTGTCACATTTCCGTTTCTTTCCTCTTGTAAAATGAAACAGTGCCATTTGTCCCACCGAGATCATTACAGTCTCCAACAAGAGTTCACCAGCACGGTGTCACACTTGGGACCCGGGGACAGTTTGTCTCCTGACAGGCAGGTCCCCACAGTCGGGCTGCACGGGCTGGACTTGATCCCCATGTGCCGTAGAGTGAGGGGACTAACGAGCCACGTGGGGGGGGGTCTCTTTTCCAGGGCCCAAGGTCAGTCTGCTTCCTTGGACTCGTGGGCTCTGATCCGAGAAAGGCCACCATGCAGGCGTCCAGAGCTGCAAAAGAGCGAGGTTACTCACTTTACAAACCTCTGCTCTGCTTTACGAAACAAGGCTCCTGAGGCTTCCCAGCCAGACGAGCTCCCAGCCTGCGAGTAAAACGCCAGCCTCCTTGCAGACGTTGTGGGTTCTGTCACTGGGTGTAAACCAGGACACATGCATGCCAGTGCTGCCGTCCCCCGCGGGTCCCTGTGCCCCACTCCAGAAAGGAAGGTAAGCTCTGATAGCATTAGACGATGTGTCCGTTTTTAAATTCCTTTATGAGGAACTCGGATCATACTTCGTACTTTGTGTGACGAGGAGGGAAAAGATGAAAAGCAAGGGGTTATTGCTTCGATTGCAGGGATGTCAGCCCTGCCTTGTGGCTTTATATAGTTTGAAGTGGACAGCGGGGAGAAAGACAAAGCCAGACGCCGAACCTCAGGCCCTGTGCAGGTCATCTTCCTCTTTGGCTGGAGGAGATGCCCCTGCGCCAGTGTCTGGTCGGCCCGTGTGGCCTCACGGCGGCCCCGCCCCTGTCTCTCGTCACTGCTGGGGGCGGGGGGGGGGGGGAACACCTGCAGGGCCTCCTTCCTCAGCAGGAGAGGGCATGGGTGTGAGCTTGTGGCGAGCGGGACCAGTGCAGGCTGCAAGCTCGTGTCCCCGCGCATGGCCCTCAGTGTTTCCTGGTGGCTACGGGTTTGAGCTCGGCCCTCAGGGCCTGACACAGGTTCCTTGGAGACGGCCCAGGCTGTCCTTGGCTTCCAGAATCTCACCTGACCTTCCGATCTGTCCCTTGCTGGCTTTCACATTGCTCAAGATTCATAGATGGCGTTCGTCATCATATGTGTAGCAGTGAAAGTAGAAACTTCAGAAAATTCATTCCCTTCTATTGCCTGGCCTTTTTCGTCTCGCTGTGTAACTAGCCATTTTCATAAACATCTGAGCAGAGATTGTCATTCCCCCTTTTTTGAAAAAACAAAAACAAAAAACAAAACTGGTGCTTGTGAAAATACACACAGCCCAAAGCCAATTATCCTATTACATTAAAAAAAAAAAAAATCAGTCTGCCTAGAGACATTTCGTTTGCTGCATTGTCTTAAATCCTTAAAGGCACCGCCTCAAAATGTCAGTTGTAATTTAGCCGCTGATTAGCTGTTAAATATTATTTAAGGATGTACTGGTCCTGTGGGGTGTCCCCCTTTACCCCTGTCTCCCCCAGATTGCATAGGTGATTGGAAAGCAGACAGAAGGCCTTCAGTGGACCCTCTGATAAAACAGTGTTGGTGGCGGTGTGCTGTTTTTAAATTCCCTGCTGTCAAGCACATTACTACTTATGTTAGAGCAGAGGTAAATGTCCAGCTACACTGTCCAAGAACCTCGACTGTCCAGTTGCCTTGAAGTATCAGGAATAGTGACTGTAAATGTCCAGTTTAATTATTTGGTATTTTATTTGACTGACCGTGACGTTTTCTAGCAGCATTTTGTAATGGCACTTTTTGGTGGTGGTGTGGGGTTTCTGCAGTTACTTTTTTTTTTTTTTTTTTTTTGCAACGGATAAAGCAAAAAGAAAAGAAAAAACCAAAAACCAGTCATTGGAGAAATGGCGAATGTAAAAAAAAAAAAGATTTATTTTGTACAGACAGAAGAGCATCCTGTGTAATGTTGCTGACATAAAGCACTTTGGGGGGGAAAAATGGAAATCTGGTTTCCATAAATCACACAGATTCTTGTACATAGTTATATACACTCACGTAGAGAAATGAACTGCATATATCATACTGGATATGGGGCCGATTTTTCTTTAGGGGCACATCTGGTGCTTATTGTCATAAATCTTTTAAAGAATTAGGTACACTTTTTTTTTCTATTAATATGTATAGTTTTGTGATTTGTCACAGTTATGTTTCGTATAATCATAAGTTATTTTGTCTTGTTTCATGAAGTCCTTTTTTTTTTTTTAATGTCAAAAGTAAAATGAAGGGATTGTGCCCTTGGTACAGAATAAAAACTGGAACTGGAGAAAATGGCCCACCTGCCTGAAATCCCTGAAATCCTCCTTCTGCACGGCCTTCTGAAACACAATGGGAACAACCCAGGGGTTGGTTGGTTGGTTGGTTGGTTTGTTTGTTTGTTTGTTTGTTTGATTATTGTGTTTTGTTTTACCATAAGCCTCCTTCCTATTGGGATGGTAATTATAATTAAAAGCAGATGCGGGTGGGGGAGGGCGAGTCCAAGGCCAGCTTGAAAATGCCGCATTGCTTTGGGCCAGAGCTGCAGCCTGGATTTAATTATAGATATGAGGACAAAATGGCAGTAAGAATGAATGTGTCCCCGAATCCTTTACATGTTGGGAGTGTCCATAAATAAAACATGAAGTTTTATTTCATCAGATTTAATTAAAGCTTTTATACATGTTTTATTGGTTACTCTATTAATCCGCCTCCACAAACTGGATAAATGTGTGCTAGGGCTTGGGGTGTATTTGTGCCTTCTCAATGCAACGCTGCATCATGTTTCAGAAATACCACTAAGTGCTCGGTCCTTTGGGTGAGGGGAGGGCATGCTGGCCATGGCGGATTAGGCCTTTTCGGCCCTGTTCTCCTAAAACGCTGCAGAAAAAGACACAAGCGTCTTCCTCCCGTGAGCTGATACCCCGACCTTTGAAGTCCTGTGATTGCCCAAAGGAGAAAGGGGCGGTTGCCTGTTCTGCGCACTTGGAGGCTTTGGAAGGCCACCTGACCCACTGGCTGCGAGGAGCTTCCTTCCTCAGCTCCCGACACGGGACCTGGAGCGGTTAGGTAGGGAGAGGGTGGTCAGGGCATTCTCACACCTGGCTGACCTGGAGCCACACACATGAACCTAAAAGAGATCATCTTCTCTCAAGAATCATTCTTGGAATATTGACGGTCTATTTGCTACATTTTTAAAAGACTTAAACTATGAAGCAGTAGAGATGATGGGTCTCATGTGCCTTTTCTGGCTCTTCAGGGAACTGAGGGGCAGGCAGCAGACCCCTGTGGTTTAGGTTTTGAAGATGGAAATAGAGCTGACTGAGAAGACTCAAGAGAGTTCTCTGCTCCTTAAATAAGGGGGCAGCTGGTGGGAGCGTGAACTGGTCCAGCGTCTTTGGGGAACAGTTTGGCATTAACTGGTAGAGTTGAAGAT